TTGCTATATAAATTACATGATCCATTCTATACTGCATTATTAACTACTGCTACTACAATATTAATAGTGCAATACACTAGGGTCAAATATAAGTCTACTTTTCTTTTATCTACTAATGAAATAATTTTATTTCAAGTGGCTCACATGATGTTATTATGTATTTACAGAGTGATAGCCTAGTATTTTTCCAAAACTATGTTCAATTTGAGCTAATTTTAATTAACATAACATGTTTATATGAAAGCCTTCATTCATGGTAGGCAAAAGGATCCGTGAAAGACCTAAGACAATTTGGTTAATTAAATACTGCACAGAGGTCAGTTCTTGCATACATTATATAGTTATACATGCATGAAACATATTTAAGTAGAGACATATGCAAATATTCAAAAATTACCAGCATCAAGATAAAAAATTATGTTCAGGAGAAATAATTACATTTGCAATACACTGTAGTGTTAACGTGTTTCCATCAATAACATGAAGAATAAATTTGCCTCTTGCTGGAGAAGTGAAACCTGGGTGCCACGTTACCTCACATTTCAGTGATGAATATGCTTCAACAATGCCTGCAGAAAATAGATAAAGAAAAGAAGACAGAAATCACATTTGCATTAAGTTGACATTTGTGACTACTGAAAATCACAGTTGGCCTAAAAATGCAAGGCCATCACACAACCAATTATTGAAATTAAATTCTATAATACGAAAATGATAAGTGAGGTAATGTCCAATGAACACAGTCTTCTAGGAGTTGTTTAAAATCTAATTGTAGGTTTTGATTAAAATCTAATATATGTACCATACTTCTCAACTTCAATAGGCAAATGAAAATATATCAAAAAATGTCAATATTTAAAAAACAACACAAAATATATTAATGAAGCAAGCACCCTAAGATTAGAGAAGGCTTTAAATATAAAATATAGAAAGTCATTTAACCTTCATTAGTGCTCCATTTCCCAACTTTCTTAAATGCTTATCAACATCACACTCAATCAACTTTCCCAGGAAGGAACTACTATTATTCAAAATTACTTTTGATATATATAAATGGCTAGCTAGAAATGTAAATTTTCATATGGCTAACAGTAATTAACATAATAAAAGTGTATTGAGGACCCATGTGGTTTCAGGCACATTTAGTGTGAGATATTTCACTTATTTATATTCATTACCTCCCTTGGAGCAAGAAAAAGCACATTTAATGGGAAAATTGCTCAGAAGTTCTTCCTTTCACAAAAGAGGAAGCTCTGAAATTCAAGGGCACTGGACACTGGATGAGAGAGGTGAATGATTATCATAAACTTTAGCTTCGGTCAGTTTGGTTGTTACAGGAAGATAATAACACATGTAAAGATAATATCAGTGTATGATGCTCAGAAAGCACACAGGGTCAAATATTATTAACTCTCCTGAGTGCCAACATTACTCTAGGCACACTAAATTATAAAAGGAAGACAGCCACTTATGGAGGTACTAACGGTCTAGTGAAGGTCCATCAGGATTATATTTGACTGTAACAAAAAGTTCTGTCACAGGGGCTTAAATAGGGGTCCAGCTTATGTGATAAGAAGTCTAAGGCTAGAACCTTCAGGGTTACCTTAATGGATTGACAATGGCTTTACGAACAAATGTACCTTTAAGCTACCTGTACTACTCTTCGTTAGTACATGGCCTCCTAAGTGTGGAAAGGCCTTTTATACTGTAGTGGTTAAAAGGAAGAAATTCTAGTGCCAGGCTTCCTGGTTCACATTTCAAATCTCTCACTTACTGGCTCAAAATGCTCATCACTGTGCAGCTGAATTAATTCTGTGTAATCAGTTAAAAGATATGCAAAAGATGGAAAACAACTATAACCTAACTCAAAGAATCATTCTTACTACTAAAAAAAATATATTAACAATATAATATCGGTTACAATACAAATATATTTATATTCTATATACAAATATATATAACATAAAAGTATATATATAAAAGTTTATGCATATATATATATATGAAAGTGTGAACACACAGGAACACCACCAAATTAAAATAAAATTTCTGTCCATGTGGCTTAACTTTTAAAAATTATTATTTACAGTAGATGCAGTTTATAATCACTTTAGGGAGCTAGTACATGTATGGACTACAGTTTCTTTTTTAATCCCCTTCCCTCCCCTCACTTTCCCTCCTCTAATTTCTCTTTCCCAATTTTAATTCTTGTTGATATTATTAATATTAGCTCATATTATGGCATGTACTGTACATTCATTGAGATTCTTAGATTCCTGTACATGACACATTTTTACTCTACTTATTTCCCCTTCCCCTCCTCCTCACCCTCTCCTTTGTTCCCTTGGACCACTTTTCTATTGCAAGAGATCCACCCCCTTGTCCCCTTCTAGGCAATCTTTTTTTTTTTTTGGTTTTTCTGCAGTACCAGGAACCGAACTCACGAACTTGCGCTTGCCAGGCAGGCGCTTTGACACGAACGTAAATTCCCAGCCCCCTAGCCAATCTTTTTAATTAAATATTTTTTATTTTATTAGTACATGTTTGCCATACATGCAGTACAACCATTTTAGGCAGTTGGCACATGTACAGCTTGTTTCTTCTTTTCAAAATCCCCTTCCCTTCCTCTTGCTCTCTCTGTCCTCCTCTAATTTCCCTATCCTAACCTTCAGTTTTAATATTACCAGTCTTAGCTGATGTTATGGCATGTAATGTTTATATTCATTGAAATTATTAAGTTCCTATACATGGCATATTTTATTATACTAATTTCTCCTTTCCCTCCTCCTCACCCCTCACACTTGTTCCCATGGACCACTTTACTATTTCAAGAGTCTCCTCTACTTGTTCCCTTCTATCCTTTATTATTCTTTTGGTATTTTGTTTCACTCAAATGAGAAATACCATATGGTATTTAAACTTGTGTGTCCAGTGTATTTCACTCAACATTATATTTTCCAGGTGCATCCATATCTCTACAAATGTCTCAAATTTGCCATTCCTCCGAACTGAGTGGGATTCCACTATGTACAGATACCATATTTTCATTATCCAATAGCATTTTGGTGAGTATATAGGCTGCTTTAGGATTTAGCAATTATGAATTGTGTTGTTATAAACACTGCTAGGCAAGTATCATGTAGTACGATTTTTTAAATTCTTTGGGGAAGATAAACAGCAGGGGATCACACAGTCATATAGTATTTCTAATTTGAGTTCTTTGAGAAACTTCCATACTGATTTCCATAATGACTATGCTAGTTTACATTCCCACCAATACAGGAGGGGTCCTTTTTCACCACAGCCATGCCATCATTTGTTGTGGTTTGATTTCTTAATGACTGCCATTCTTTCCGGAAGAAGATGAAATCTCAGCATTGTTTTTTTTGTTTTGTTTTGTTTTGGGACCGGCAATCCAACTCATGACCTCAGGCTTGCCAGGCAAGTGCTTATGCTGCTGAGCTATATCACTGGCCCTTCAGCATTGTTTTAATTTGCTAAATGTTGAATTTTTTTTCATGTATTTGTTGCACATTTGCATTTCTCCCTCTGCGAAGTGTCTGTTTCTGCTGCCCATTTCCTGACTGGGTCTTTAATTTTAGGTAGTTCATTTTTTTTAGCTCTTCATACATTCTTGATATTAGTCCTCTCTCTGAGTAGTACATGGCAAATTTTTCCCATTCTATAGGTTGTCACTTCATTCTACTAGTCGATTCTTTTGCTGATATAATCTCATTTGTTGATTCCTGCCATTATTTTTTGCGCAGCTGAGGTTCTGTTGAGAAAATCCTTTCCTACATCTATGTCTTCATGGTAGACTTCAAGATAAAACTGATTGGAAAAGACAAAGATGTTCACTACATACTAGTTAAGGGAACAATTCAACAAGAAGAGATAACACTGATAAACATATATGCACCAAATACAGCAGCTACTATATTCATAAAACAAAACTTCTGAAATTAAAAAATCAAAAAAGCATTAACACAATCATAGTAGGGAATTTTAGCACCACACTTTAGAAAAGAGTTAGAGATATTAAAGGAAAAATCCATAAAAACAGAGGGGTAAGGAAAGGAAAGGAAAAGAATAAAAAATAAAAAGAAGGAAAAATGGAAAGAAAGCTTTTGTAAGTAAGGAGGGAAAGAAGAGCTGAACTGAAGGGAAAGGAATAGGAAAAAAGAATCAAGATACATTATGTACAAGTATAAATGTGATCATTATGTATATCTAAAATGTACCAATAATATTAATTCATTAAAAAATTAATAAAGAAATATCAAACCTGAACCACACCTTTGAACACATGTACTTAATAGATATTTGCAGGTATTCCAACCCTCTACAACAGAATATTCATTCTTTTCTGCAGCAAATGATATTTTATCTAACATAGATCACACACTACTCTACAAAGCCTGCTTACATAAATATAAAAGAATTGAAATCACCCCATGCATACTATCATACCACTGTGCAATGAAAAGAGAAATCAACAACAAATTTTGGAAAATACAAAAGCTCCTGGAAAATTAACAACATACTCCTAAAGAACCAATGGGTCATAGAAGAAATCAAAGAAAAAATTTAAAAATTTTCTGGTAGTTAATGGCAATGATTATACAACGTACCCATACCTCTGGAGTACTATCAAAGCAGTTCTAAGAGGAAAACACATTGTAATCAATGCCTACATTAAGAAAAAGGCCAAGCCCAAATAAATAACTTTATGCGAAACCTTAACATACTTGAGTAACAAGAGCAAACCATTCCCAAACCAAAATTAAGGAGAGGAATTAAAAAGAGGTGACCAGAAATCAATCAAATTGAGAGTGAAAAAAATGAACGGAAGAGCTGGTTTGTTGAAAGAATAAATAAAACAGATAACCCTTTAACCAGACTTACAAGAGAGAGAAAAATCTCACATCACTTCAGTTAGAAATGAAAAGGTGAAATCAACACAGATACTGTTGAAATCCAGAAGATAATAAGTATTTTAGAAAATTATATTCCAAAAAGTAGCAAATTTTGAAGAAATAGACAGACCCTTAAATGCATGCAAATTACCAAAACTAACCCAAGATGACATAAATGTGTTTAACAACCTAATAAGAAACAATGAAACTCAAGCAGTAATAAATATCTATCAACTAAAACATCCAGGACCAGATGGATTCACTGCTGAATTCTATAAAACCTTTAAGGATGTTATATCAGCAATACTGCTCAAGCTCTTCAAAGAAATTGAAAGGCATGTAGTGCTCCCACATTTTTTATAGAAGCCAGTATTATTCTGATCTCCAAACCAGACAAAGACTCAAGTAAAAGAAAAAAAAAAACTATAGGCCCATCACCTTAATGACCATAGATGTAAAAATGCTCAACAAGATATCAGCAAATAGACTGCAGCACATCACTGAAAAGATCATACATCACGATCAAGTTTCATCCAAGAGATACAAGGATGGTTCAAGATAATTAAGTCTATAAATACAATACATCACATAAACAGCAGCAAGGTCAAACACCATATGATCACATCAATACAAGTGAAAAAAAGGCCTTCAAC